CGACAACAGGTTTACCGACATGATTCAAGTGGGAAGTTGGTTTTACCGACATGATTTCCTTTCTTTCCGACATGCTTTCTCATCGGTGAAGTTGTGAATTCTTGTAGTGAATTAAAATGATATTTACTGATAGATATAAAAATTAAACTATTACAGATTTAACCCTATTTAAAACTAAAATAAACATGAACAGTGATTAAAGTAACATGCTTGAAATTTAGAAGAAGTGTGCGCCATATAAGTAAACATTTGATGAAACAGTATTTATCATAAATATAAAATTAATTACAGTCAGAAAAAGAATAGTATCTTGAAGAAATTTAAGACCTTGAAGAAATTTAAGAACTTAAAGTTCATTACAAGAAACAAAATTGCTGAAACAAGTACTCGAACTAGTTTATCTATTAGAATGATGAAAAACAACCTAGATCTATTGGAAATTGTGTTGAAATTCGAAATCTAGAAGCAATTTGTAGAGAAAATGAAAGTCTGAAAATTTGTAGGCGTTTGAGTAGGGTTGGCCGTGTGTTCTCCCTTCCAAAATTTCCTTTTTGTTCTCCTTTGGCCAATAGTAACTTCTCACTTTTGCAATTACAAAAGTTGTGGGTGGTGTCTTGAGGTAGTAGAACAGTTTAACAATTAACATGGTTAGATTTCTTTTCAGATTTTCGCCACTTGTGCCCTTATCAGATAACTACATTCTACAACTGCAATCTCCTTTTAAATTTCAATTAAAATAGTCCCTTTGTGACTCAAAGAAGTAATTACATGATAAAATCTTATCTTTATCTCTTGTTTTTGCCAATGTGGTAGCTGATCCGTCATGGAGTCCAAAATAACAAATTTGACATGGTAAAATCTCCTCTATCCATTTAAAAATATTTTGACACGTGGCATGATTTTAAATTTTTGTAATTTATGGTATAAACAATTAGTAGAATGGGAACCCAAATTTGGGTTTTTAGATTTGTTGAGCTAGCTGGCTGGCTGGCCCCAATTTTAAGAAATTGAAGCTAGAGTTGATATGGATTCATGAATTGAGATGTTATTCGAGGAGTAGGCTATGTACAAAAGTAGGTCTAGTAACAAAGAAAGATGAAGAAATTGAGTAAGGATGAAGATGATGAGGAAGAAGAGCAAATGATTTTAATTTTGTTAATTTTAAATTAATTAATTAAGTATTTAAAATGAGCTTAAATGATGTCCAAAAGTCAGATTAAATAAGTGAGAATGAGGTTCTATCAGAGTCCATGCAAGAAAAAATGATTCCACAGTGGTTACAAATTCAAAATCAATTCGCAGTTAATGAACAGATAACATTAGTTGACATGGCATGTCAAATAATGAGTTATTTGTCTAAGTATAAAATTTTGTGGGTGCATTTATCTTTATTTTTTGTTGAGAGTGGATCTATCTCTGTTGTTATACTTTGATAACAGATTTGGATATTTTATCTTAAAATAATTCAATTATAATTTATGTACATAAATAAAGGTATCGTCTAAAATATGCATAGGGCTAGTTATATGAATGATAAATAATAATATAATGAGTATTATTCTTAAGAAAAAGTGTATAACTTTTAAAAAATTAGAGGAAAAACATTTTAAAATTATAAAATTATGTTATTTGTACAACATTTTATTGAAAAAGAACTTAAAATAACTTATTTATATAGCATGAAGAAAATTATTTTAATATTTTTCTCATAAAAATCTACTAAAACAACATAAATTTGATGTATATATATATTTGAATATTTTAGTCATGAGATCGGCTCAAACCGTTACTATTGAGGAGGGAGATATGAACCTTATAAGAGTAATTAGAGTCACTTGGCTTACAAGATCACGTTCTATGTATATATTTTTTTGATTTTTTAAAAATCTGATTAATAAATGCAAATCTTAATCAATCTATAACTCCACCATTGTTGTTAACTTGGAGTTTAGTTTATTGCCAAGATGGTCCTACTCCTAGAAGTTCCTAAGCCTCCATCCAATCTTCACCCAAAAAAAGAGGGATTGTGCTTATGATTGACGTGAAGTACTATAATGATAATTTTTTTAATATTTTATTATAAAAAATTATTTTATTATTTAATAATTATTTTAAAAATAATATTTTATATTAATAAAATCATTAATAAAATTATTAAATAATATAAAATATTAATTTAAATTAATTTAAATATAATAAATTAATACTTTTATAAAGTATTACGGTGTAAAGACTTCGAGAAATCAACAGGGACCTGCCAAAGCTGGGCACTAAATTTTCGAGAACCTTACAAGGCTACGATCCAACATCTACCTTTACATACCAATAATCGTTCATAGTCCAAACCAAAAAGCCCACCAAAGAAAAGGAATAGTCTGGAAGATCTACACGTATACTTCCTCTCGTACGTAACCGACCTTTGAGGTCCCAAGCAGCCAACCGCTTTCCCTTCCTAATTTTCTGGCATGAAAACGAGCACTTCGCCCGCCTGCTGAACGGCTGCCTCGCCGACAGTGGACCACAATGACTGCTCCTCCTTTTCCGGCTGTCAATAGCTTCCGTCCGCTCCCTAATCCTCGTCTCCTTCCTTCCGCCGTCGTTCCAGTTGCTTCCTCTTTCCGGTACAGGCTTTTCTCTGCTGCTGTTTTATGAATTGGTTTTGTCAATTTTTAAAATCAGTGAAGAAGATGTCCATACTTTTATCTGGTCATTGTTTCCTGATTTATAGATGTTAAATACTTAAAGATCATATTGTAGATATGAGAAGTCGGTTCTTTTATTTAATGGTTTTTAGTTATGATCATTGTTTCAAGATCATATTCTTTGTGTTTTTTTGATTTTTTGTCATAATTTGGTCGATGGCAATTTAAGTTTCATTTCTATAATCATTGGCAGTTCTTATTCTTAAATACCTTGCTGGACGGTAATACTTTGCCCAAGTGGTTAGAATTTGAGAGCTTTATTTTGCAATGGGAAAAGTGTTGTGCAGGACTGTACTGGATCAGATTGCACAACACCAACCATCAGATGAAGGTTGGGCCCGCTAACATTGAGGGTCCTACCCTCTTTCAATGGTTTCTATTTTGCAATTCAGTGCAGTTTGGACTGTAAAAGAAGGTTCCTGGAAAGAAATTTCCTGTTTTGCAATTTAGATTCCACTGGACTGCAAAATAGGAAGTCTAGATCACCAGAGAATGGGAGACAGAGTTGGCCCTATCCAATGGTTTGTGTTATGCAGTTTGGTACTCTTTTTGTTACTTTGCCCCTATTCTTTATAATTTAGCATCAAAGAGGAAAAAGTAAGAACTGTGAAGTATGCTGGTATAATTTTTTTCCTAACATCTGCATTAGTTATTTCTTACCTTGGCCATGGATAATCAGCAACCCCCATTTTAACCGAGAAAACAGATCAATCCATTTTGGAACAGTTATTTTAGTTTCGATTCTTGGGTTGTTTTCATGAGTTAAACTTGGTTATTTTTGTGTTAAACCAGGTGTAAGGATGTGACTCTGAGGAGAGGCAGCAGAATCTCCCTGACAAAGAAGCACTCTGTGCTTGCTTGCAAATCGAACTTGCAAGCCAATCTCATATTTTCAAGCAAAAGGAGTTCACAGGGAACTCATCAGGAGCTTCATTGCTTGTTCTCTTCTGGTACCTTGTTCACTTTTCTTTATTGTAGTTTGGTTTTACTGAATTTCTCTGGTTCTGCAACATCTTCTATTTTGATAGTGGAAGTGGATCCTTGAACCTAGTTCTGAAACTATTTATAGTTTTTCATTGATTAGAGGGAGGGTGAGTTGGAGAAATCTAACAATAAGATGACAGATGAATACCAAACTTTTTAATAACCTACTATGTCTATCTATGACAGAAGTTTCCTAATCATTACTCTGATAATATGATAGTAACCATTGTTTTTGATCTTTCAAGTTTGAAAATCTCGGTGTCGTTAAATGACCAAAAGGACTAACACAAATTCCTGGAGATTGTTGAATAGAGATGCATAGCTAATGACGTACAAGTAACAAACTTACAGGTTACCCATAGCGAGATCCTCGTTTGAATCTTTTCCCTATATTTTGGAATACCACTGCTGGAACAAAGCTTTGGGATGCCAAAATATCTTAACATAAATGTGTTTCATTGATCATCAAAATTGTTTATCTTGTACCATGTTTGTTTGTTTATTTATTTGCATTGACACTTTGACAGGAACAAGATTCCACCAATGTGGTCTATCACATATAAATACCATGTTACATGGACAGCATGGAAGATCTCTTATATCTCCAATGGCATTTTACCAGGGTGAGTATTTCAAATTTAGGTACCCTGTAATAACCAAGAAGCCAGAATGGTGGTGGAGGACTTTGGCATGTCTCCCTTATTTGATAGCCTTGCAGATTTCTGATACGGGATATTTTCTCCAACCCTTCCTACGACAGCATGAGATTTTGGAAGATTTGATTTTCTACATCCCAGGAGCCATTAAAAGATGGCCACCTTGGTTCACAATGATATATTACTACTTTGGTTATGCTGCAATTGTGAAGAACAAAGATTGGCCTCACTACTTTAGGTTCCACCTGATGATGGGCATGTTACTGGAAACAGCTTTGCAGTTAGCTTCATACACATTCAATTTTTTCCCACTTATACACTACAATGGCATGTTTGGGATGCAGTTCTGGACAGGCATTGGATTTATCAACATTTTGACCTTGTTAGTTTGTATGGGGTATGCTCTTGGTGGCAATTATGCTCCGATCCCTTTTATCAGTGATGCAGCATATATACATACTCTTTAATATAGGAAGCTTCCAAAGGCCCTTCTAGGGAGTAGGATATTGTATTTCTCTACATTCCAAAAGACGGTTACTCTACATTTCAAAAGACAGTTACTTGTGACTGGCTCAAAACAGAGCAATTAGGCAGAAGGTTATAGGGTTTCTATACTTCCATTGTTTTCGCCATTTTGACAGAATAAAAGAAAATTAAATCTCAGGGTTTTATTTTATTTATTTATTTAGTTATTGTTTTTTGATTAACAGTTTGAACCATCTCCTTGTGTAATTGGTTGAACGTTAAGAAACATTTTTAAGTGAACACTAAGGTGTTTGTGTTGAAGGAAAAGGAGAGGATGAATACATATATTTCATTGGACGAAAATTCTTAAAAACATGTTTAATTTGAGGGAAACAGAAGGAAGGAGACAATCCTTTTATTTTTCTCTTCCCTCATCCCCACTTCAATTTCTATCATCCAGATAAGAAAATTATTCCCCTCTCTTTCTCTCTGCCCGGCTAAGAGTGGTTCCTTCTCATTTTCTTTGAATAATGGTTGGTAGGATTGCCCAAGTAATCAATGACAGAGACGTGATCCTGTAATATGGGATTGAAATTCTTTTGATTTAAATACACTGGCGGATGAAGTTTAGAAAGGAAAGATTTCCTACCAGTCAACTTGCCATTTTGCGCACAACAAATCTTCCTGTGAAAACCCATTTCCCATGTAATTGCAAATACCACGTACTAGCAATAGTTATTCACAGTGTTTTTTTCTTTCTTTTCAACAATAGTTATTCACACTTAGATGGCTAACTTTGGTGTGATGACTGAAAAACAAAAATTAACCTTAAAAATACTTTAGAATTGACAAAGCAACCTGGGAAGAGACTTGAGAGATCCTCATGGCTCTCAAAGGTCATAAGCCAAATATACCCAAATATACAAAACAAGAATAAAGTCAAAATTAATAGTGTCCCAATAACACAAGCAATAAATAGATAAAACACCGCTAAGCGGCCTTGCAAAATCCCATCCTACTATATAAACCAGATTTTCCTAAGAAATCTGTAATTATATTGCAAAATCTCATCCTACTATATATTATGAAGCTTTCCTCCAGGAGACAAAATGACAACACTTTCTGGAGCTTTCCTCTTGACAGGGGACACGTCGAAGATTTCTGTTTAATGGAAGTGAGTTAGCAGAAGCAATTAATTTAGTATGAACTGAAATGAACAGATAATGACTCATTTACTGGTGTTCACAACAACGCTTTAAAAGGACACCAGAGGAAAATAAATAGCATGATGCTTAAATTCAATAAAGATTCTGAATTTCAATTTAAGAAAAGAAGGACACACACTGTGGCGTATTTTGATTCTTTGAACAAAAGAAGAGCTCAACTACTCTCATGAGTCCAAGAATCAAAGACAATTGATGTGATTCAGAAAATCAAAGACATGCTATATATTTTTCTTTCTCCCTTATTATGGGGGAAAAGGAGCAAGAGATTTCACAATTATGGTCTTATGGCAGTTAAGAAATACAGAAAAGGTTGAACTCCAACAGAAACAAACCTGTTTTCATAAAGCTTAAAATTGGTGGAGGTATTTAGGTACCCATTCATACTCTGATGGCTGTCGAGTCCTTGTAAAGGCGCGATAAAATCTCATTATTGGTCCACGGTCACGTACCTTAACTTCCAAATTTGCACAAAACACGTTGAAGTGTTTTTCATACTGTACATCATAATGTTTTTCATTCCCAACTAGATTGATTGAGATCGTTTCCACAGAAGAACAAAGCAAAAGCAGGCTATTCACCAACTTTGACTTGCATCCTTTCGTTGATGATGTCAAATTTACCTCCAAATGCTTAAGCTTATTTAGAGTGTGAGCAAATGCATCTTCTTGTTCTTCAGGGAAAACTAAAGCCTACATAAATCACAAGAGAATAAGAAACCATGAAATCATTATAGCCCGAATTATCATTCCTAGCAAAATCAAATGACTGAAGTAATACCTTATCGCAGCAGGTGAGCTTCAAAACTTTGGCATAATTGAACTGGTGAAGAAAGCTCCTTAACTTTGTAAACCAATCATCGCTGAAACCGCTACAGTCTCTTTCTAGTTTTTGAGTTCTTCTAGCAGAATATATTGCAACATAACTGGGATAGTCTTCGCTATTTACGTTAGCTTCCAACAGAAACATAGGAGTTTTGGAAAAATTCGGATTGGTGGTCCATCATATGTAAATTGAAGAATATTTGGCGTATTAATATCAACCTCCTCCAAGTCTTCAAAATAGGAATCGAGAGAGAAACTTTTCACAGATTCACTAATAATCTGGATTTTCCTTGTATAATTTTCTCCAATAATTTCCATTTTTCTCAAACTGGAACCTGATATCTGCAAATTTTCCAACCGAGAGCAACTTTCTAAATGCAAGGTCTCAATTGCAGGGCAATTAACAAATAGAAAATGAAATGTTTGGTCATCTATCCCGGTCCTCTGAAGGGATAACTCTCGCAAACTCGGCAAGTTAATGTAATCCAGGGGCTTCAAATTACAGGCTTCCAAGTTCAAAACTGTTAGTGATTTAGCACAAAAAACACTCTCGTGTATAAAGTGTAAGGAATTGTAGGAACCTTTAAAACCTTGGAAGAGAATGCTTAACTCTCTTACATTGCTGCGGAGAGCAAAGCTTACCCAGTCATTAACGTACTCGCAAGTTTCTCCCAGACAGAGAATGAAGAGCTTGAATTTCTCAATTCTGGTGCCCTTTTCGTGGTGTCGCAAAAGCCCATTTACCAAATCAACGATTTTGGCCACCTGAGCTCTTTTTTTGGAGTCCTCACGTTGGAGTTTATCTTCTCTGCTGAAATCTAAGATGGGAATTGAAGAACAAACACTGAGCCATCTCCTTGAGAGGAAAAACTTTCTTGCTACTTCTTTTGCTGGCAAAAAGGAGAGGATGTGGTGTATGAGGTGAACTGGTAATTCCGAGATTCGATCAGGATTGCTTGGTTTAATCCCATGTTTTCTTTGATTCCTTCGGGGTTTTCGTTTCCGGCCCATCTTAGTGCACTGAAGCCGTTTGAGGGCTGCAGAACTAGGGTTTTGGGTTTTGGCAGCTTCCGTGGGAATCAAGAAATGTATATTAAACTAATTTTGTTAAGTAAAATTTACTTTTAACTTTTTTTTTTTTTACTGTAAATTTACTTTTAACTTTAATGCTACGTTAAATATTTTTAGGGCAATACT